CAGCCATTAAAGGGTGATTCAAATAATATTGATTTGAATATTGGTATAAATACAATTGATTCAAGTTCAGCATTACTTGAATTGATTCAGGTAATATTGGTTTAAATATAATTGGTCTAAAATTTAAACACACAACCCAGTAACTGAAAAACACATAACAAAAAAGTTGCTTTTATGGTACAAGAACGGTCTTCAGTATGAATCTTAGGAAACATTTATCCAATTGCTTTCCAAATTTGTAGATGACAATGGGAATAAGGGAAGCAAAAGCATGTTACATTTGAATCTGTTTAACTACATAAAATATCAGTGTTGAATTTTACCCCATGTTACTTTGCAGCCCCCTTTTCCTTATTCATGCATTTTGTTTTGCTGTTTAACTACAATCATTGTTTGCACTTTTGACCAACCATTTAAAACTTAAATGACATTAAATCAAAGCTCTGCTATGTAAGATGTTTTTTTTTTAATTTGAAGAATAAGTATTACTGAGGAAAAAACAGGGTAAAATAGGTTTTTGTGAGCTACTGCTGCTGTAAAGTCTAAAATAATTATTTAAAAGAGGTGTCGGTTCAGATTTTTTGGACCTAATCACACATCTTGACTTGATTCTTGGCTCACTTACATCATCAGAAGAAGTTTAAAGAAGTTTAAAGAAGTTTAAGTTTTGACTGAGCTCTCTTTGAATACTTTCTCAATGCGCTCACAATCATCAGATTCACCTGCTCAGGGAAGGAGTCTGATGCACAACCAACATTACAAAGTGTTCTTTCACACGTTGCATACAATTACACATTTCCACCAGTGAGGTCTTCAAATCCTCCAAATGTACATAGTGCAGCTTTAAGATGAACCTAAAGGGGATCTCTCTTTATTGCTATTATTGGTCAAATAAAATATGTCATAATGGGTTTAAGGCCATAAATTCTAATCATACATTTCAATAAAACTATAAAAATATACAATAGATAATGCAAACAAAGTCTGCAAATACTTATGTTGACTTATTTGAGAAATGTATTTGAGGATGAAGCTGAAGTAGCCAAAATAAAAAGATATTGGACAGATATGGACTAACTGTATGCACAGACCCATGCAAAAACGTCCAGACAGTTACATAACAAACCCAGATCTGCAGTGACCAGACACACACCTTGGTGAGACATTCAGCCAGGATACACACCCTGTTCATAAACACAACACCAATAAAGAATTTTTCTTTCCATACGAAGAAGTTCTTGTGGCAGAAATTTCTAAATAAAGACCAACCATTTTAGCATAGATTTTATTATATTTGCTTTATTTGAATTCAATCTTTGGGACTGTGTGTGTGTTTGTGTTTGTGTATGCGTGTGAGAGTGTGATTCTCTGACTCACTATCTTCCTGGCTTTACTGAGTCATACAGTAAAAGGTGTTTCGTCTTATCTTTATACAGTGAGCGTCATGGTCTGAAACACTTAAGTAAATACTTGTCTGTCTAAAAAGGAAAACCCTGCAGGAACCTAACATGACATCTGACCTATTTCCTGTCTGTGAAAATCATTACATTGCTTCTTTCACCTTCATCTGCAAAACCTTGCCCTGCCATGTCATCCACTTACCAAAAGCACATTTTCATAAAAACATGATCCTCTGGTGAGTCAATTTCTCTCGCTGTTGTGTATATTAGTTCCTTGCACACACATAGAAACAAATCAGGATTCCCAAATGGTTCTTGGCACATCTGGTTCTAAGAAAAGTCCCTACATACATTAAATGATGAGAAGATAAAAGAGATGTTGAATAGTGCTTGACCCCTTAAATAGCCAGGGCTCACCGGCAGGCCCAAAGTTTTATGACACACTTCTGTGGGCTCTGGACGTTTAACTGACTTGAACATTCCATAGGAACATTCCATTTTGTCTTTAGCAATGCAATAATAACACCTCTGGAACTTTACCAGATGTTTCCTTGGTGAGTGTTTCGGTAGTGGGAATTGTAGCTAATTTTAAACTCAAAAACCCTAGCCAATACATGACTATATTTGAACAGTTGGGAAAATGTTTACTTAAATGCAGAAAGTATGTGTTTCAGTAGTGAACATTTTTAAGGTTACACACTGATTTTCAGACTTTGGAACACATTTACTTCAAAACAATGGGCTCTATCTGCTGACTATGTGGACATGAGCTACAGGGTTGCACTCTCACTCTCTAAAATGCAGGAGAATGGCTAAAAGAAGGCTCCACCTATGGAAGAAAACTCTTTGTGTTTCCTTAGTGACATAAAAATAGGGTACAGCATGTTTTAAATATAGCTTTTTTTTATTTAACGCTTGAACGTTCATGATAAATAAAAAAAAGTCGTTTAATTTCACTTTAAAAGATTTTAAAATTATGTTTTAAAAAAGCAACGTTGTAAAAAAAAAAGCAAAACAAAGAGTATTCTTTTCACAACTTGAAATTTAGGGGTTAGGGTTTGGGACAGCCACCTCCCAACAGAAAGAAACTATAAATGATTATTTTGTATAGCATATTACTATCTCAATTACTGCATCTGGTTTAAGTAGATCGTGACATAATCCTTTTAAATATGTAAGGTGTGAATACTTGTTGTGTAATTCAGCAGAATGGTTCTTATATTGACAACTTCCTTAAGATTATGAAAACCAGATTCGGGTGTGTCCAAACCTTTGTCTGATACTGTGCATTCTGACCGACATTTATTAAGTATCTCAGAGCAACAATACTGATCTATAGTTGTGACGCTTTCTCTGTGCACACATACATGTCTGCATACAAACCTGTTACATGAAACACATGAAAGCCACTATCTCAGGCTAGTGTCTAAACTAGTTTGAGCCAGTTTATTCTGGAGTGACACTTGAAGCGTGAAAAACATGGCTGGACTTGAATTTTACAGTTTTATCATATTTCTTTGTTTAAGCTCTCTTAGCAACAAGCTGCATCAGCAAGGCACAAAAAAACATTCCAAAAACCTTGGAGAAATACAAGTGCATTTGCCAAGAAGTGATAGCTTTTGACCCAAACCCACCCAAACAGTACTGAGTGAGCACGCTAATGGTTCTACTGTGGAAATGCTTACTCAGATTTGCCAAACCAAACCACACTATGTCATGTGTGTGTATTCGTGTGAGGAGTGTCTCTCAGATGCCTCATGCTTTGCTGTGAGTCTATAACTAAGAAAGTACACAGCGTTCCAGACCTACACTGAAGGCCAGATCTACATAAGTGTGCAGATTATTCTGGCATACGCACACAATGAGTGTAGACAAACACTCACTGGACATTTTATCAGGTATATCAGCTCATATACAGTGGGGTCAAAAAGTCTGTGGACACTGATGAAAAAGCATTGATTTCTTTCTAATTTACTGTGAAGTTTTTAATTATATTCCTTTCCCATCCCTCTATTCTTCCAAAAAATTGCTTTTACTGCTTTTTACTCTCCTCTATAAATTAATTGAACTTGTTACCCTGTTAAAATGAATATAATCATTTAATTAATTATTTAAAATCTATTTATTTACATGTGTATTTGCAGCTTAGAATACAGGTTGAACCCTACAGTAAATCAGGTGTTCGTTTCACTTTGTTTTTATTTCATTTTTATCTCTCCATCTTTCTCTCACTCCCTCACTCTCTCTCTCTGCTTGTCTCTTTTGGCTCTTGTATCTCAATCCCCACTGATTACTGAGAAAGTATACATTACATTATAAAAGCCTGTTTCTACCAAACCCCAGCTAACAGGAAATGTAAGCTACTCGTACAGTTAATGAGACAAAATACAGCCAAATTTATGTTAATTTCTTAAATATGTCACATGACAGTGTGGCATCACAATGCTAGTTAACAGTAAACTTTCTCATGCTGGTTGTAGTAAGTTAAGAGTAAGTAAAGAATTCACAAGTTTCTCACTATCAGTGAGGGAGACCATGTCCTGAGCTTTTGAGATGTTATGAATGTGATAATAAGCTATTTTGCAGCCTGTGCTTATATGATTTTTAAAGTTGAGCACATTCTCAAAAATGACTCTTTTTTTTGGCTTTCAGAGATGAGGAAATGTTCTTCCTCTGTGCTTCATTTCCAGTCAGAACTTTGTTTTGTTGTAAAATAAGTATTTGCCATCCATGTGTTAATATCACACGTAAAGTCAAACTGAAGGTTAATGTACATGTAATCATTAGGAGCCAGGGACAAGTACAGCTGGATATCATCTGCATACTGGTGGTAACCAATGTTGTACTTCTTAATTAAACCAGGAAGTAAATATAGGTTAAAAAGCAAAGGCCCCAAAATTGTTCCCTGTGGGACCCCACAAGTTACTGTATGATGTTTAGATGCCCAATTGCCCAATGTGACAAAGTAGTCTTGACGACTTCGTTATGATCTGAACACATCTAAGACATTGTTAGTGAGGTCCACCAAGTTTTGCATGCAGTGAGGTAGAATTTTGTGATCAACCATATCAACAGCAGCACTTAGATCCAGGAGAACCAGAACAGAGATTTTGCCCACATTTCTGTTAACTCTAAGATCACCTGATCAGCAGTTTGAAGACTGAAACCAACTGATTAAACAAGTGAAGTCAGGTGTGCTCCAGCTTGTTTTGAGTGAAACCCTGCAGACACACCAGCCCTTTGTGGATAAGATTGGACAGCCCTGTTCTAAGATCATTTAAGGCTTTAAACAGGGCCGTTTCAGTGCTGTGATGAGCCCTAAAGCCAGACCGAAATGTTTAATTACCATGATTTGTGTTAAGAAAATTGTTCAGCTGAATGGAACTACCTTTCCAATAACTTTGCCAAGAAAGGAAGGTTAAAATGTGTCTGTAGTTGTTCAGCAAAGGGGACTTTAGAATCCTGTTCTTGATCAGTGGCTTGACGACAGCTGTTTTGAGACTTTGTGGAACAATTTACAGTTTCAGTGATTGATTAACTATATTAAGAACATCAACAGATAATGAACTCAGTACCTGTTTAAACAAAGCTGGTAAAGGGTCCAGAGAGCAGGTTGTGGATTTAAGCTGTGAAGTGACTTTAGAGCATTGAAATCGATCATCTCAAAGGTGGACATTCTGCTTTTAGCATTGCTGTATGGTGACAGTGTAGCCAAACCAACACAGTGAGTATGAACAATGTTGTCTCTTATAGTATTCATTTTGGTGCCAAAGAATATTGCAAACTCATCAGTGGATATGCAGGTTAGGGTTAACCAAGAGAAGAAGTTTGTATTATCTTTGTAAACATCAATTTTAAGTGTGAGAAATGAACTTTCCTGGCATTTTTTTTTTTTACTGTTAAATCTTTTCAACTGCATTTTGTAAATATCCTGATGAACTGTCAGCTTTGTGTGTCTCCAGTGCCTCTCTGCTCTTCTGCAGTTTCTCTTTAGATTTTGAATGATAGGTGTATTTCTCCAGGGGGCTTTTCTGCCTGAAACAATCTTGGTTTTTAGTTTTTTAGTGGGGCAACAGGATCAATACATTTGGTAATTCTGTAATTAAATTGATTCACCAATGTATTACAGGATGAGAGAGTAAGAGGAGGAAGAGAATGCATGAGATCACTGAATGCTTCTGTATAATCAGTAGTTAAATAGCGCCTCATTATACTTCTCTTATTGCTTAATGTTTTGGTACATACTGACACACGAAAGAAGACACACTAGTGAACTAAGGTTACAAGATCAACTATTTCTGGTGTCTTACTGTCAAAGAGATACAAAATAATTCAATCTAGTGTATGTTTGTGTTTATGAGTGGGCTGGGCTGGGAGACATGCTGCAGAAGATTAAATGAATTCCATATCCTAATAAAATCGATGCTCATAGGATCTGTAAGTACGTCCATGTGAATATTAAATTATCCAGTAATCAAAACATAGTCCAAATCAGTTAAATCTCTAGAAAGCATTTCTCCCAGTTCATCTATAAAACCTGTGGTGGTAATTAACTAGCATGTTGGTGGTAATTAACTAGCTTGAGAACAGGGTGATCGCTTTCAAACAACATTGCCAGACATTTAAAAGTAGAACATGTCCCCAGTGAAATCTGCTTACAACAACAAAAAAAAAAATGCTGTGATAGAGATGCAACCCCACCCCACATCATCTCTCTAGGTAAACTGAAAAACTTAAAATGTAGGGGTCAGACTTCCTTCAGAACATAAACCCCATTTCTGTGAAGTCATGTCTCTGTCAGGAAAAGAAAGTGTAATGTTCAGTGAGTTGGGAAACAATGAAAGATTTTGACAAATGTGTTTAGCATGCTGACGACTACCACAGTTAGCACGGTGGAAACCATTAGGCCAGAAATGTACTCAATGCAAATATGCAAATGCAAAAGCTCAACCAACACATTGCAAACACACAGTCTTTCTGTACAAACTCACCATGCGTTCTTACGCTACCGCAGTGGTTAAACACCTCAGTACTGAAGGGGGCGATAGGGGACAAAGTAAATGGGATCTACTGTTATTCCAACAGCCTCAACAGCTAAACTTGTGGACGGTAGAGGAGTGTGAGCTGTTTTACTTGTTGTATCAGAATGCAGAGGTGATATATATCTGTACATAATTTTGATACACAACAACGCACGAAACCGTCTCTACATAGCTTGACGCGTCTGCATTCACATATGTATAACAGTAAGTCTTAGGCCAGAAACATACTCAACGCAAGAACACGAATGCAAATAACAACAACCAGCCAATGCTCAGCCAACACATTGCATGCTCTTCTGTACAAACTCACTGTGCGTTCTTACTTTACTGTGGCTGTTAGGGGGGTGATAGAGGACAGATCAGGGCAGGGCTGCCTTCAGCCCTGCAAAACATTTAATGGAAACAGTGGTGCGCTGAACACTCTCTTATGTTCTCTTAAGTGTTGCAACTATGGCAGCTGAAAAAGCCATTCTTGCTGTCCTTCTAGTGTATTATATTAAAAAATGTTACAATAAAATACTTACAACAAACTAACTTCTTCAGTTATTGCATACACCAAGCTGCAGCAGCCGTATTTGTAGAGGACATTTTTAGAATCCATTGTGCCTTTTTAATATGCCGGGGTTTATATACATATCACTGCTGATGGGGTAACACCTCTGACGCACCCATCAAATGAGATAAACCATACCTCAAAGCCCACTGCACACTGTTTCGTACCGTTTTGACGAAACCTGTCGTTTAACATGGAGGCCGTAACAAAATGCGCACATTGTTTTGAGATTGAATGTGCCCCTGGATCTATTGTTATGCAAACAGCCTCAACAGCTAAACATGGGCATTTTACCTGTACTGTTGGAATGAAGGCAATAATATATCAAATATGTTTAGATTTATGTAAATGAATCATTTTTGCGTGAGAATCAACTGCTTGTCTGCCATGGCAGTTGACAAAGAACGCAGGTGGTACAAGGCAGTTGGGCTTGGATGTCATTATAGCACCCCTTGCTGTAACATTAAGAATGCAGCTCACGTTTGCGTTATGTTATGAATTGCGTTCCACCTCAGACTCTTTGACTTTGCTGTATATCAACAAAAACACAACATGCACTCCACCATTACTCTACCATTCAAAAAACTGGGAGACATTTTTGAATGCAACTACATGCGAAACCGCGTAGCTCGAAGCATCTGCATTTGTGTTCTTGCGTGAAGTACGTTTCAGACCTTAGGACTGATTCACACATGCTACCTCGGACAGCAATAGTGTTGCACATTGCTTTGCAATGCACAAACACTAAGAACTAGAAAAGGGCATGTCCTGACAAAAATGCACAGTCTAAGCAAATCCCCAATGGTTGCTAGGGTGTATCCAGACAGTCACTACATCATAACAACATATGTAACTATTGTCTCTACTCATCAGATGTTTTTGCCCAAACTTGTGGAGTCCATACCAGCTTGAGTGCACGCTGTCAATAAAGCAAAAAAAGAGATGTAACAAATAATAAGACATTCTGAAATTCATAAATACTTCAAAGATTCTTCTTTTTCACTCAGGTTGCTGATAATATAATCTGTAATAGAAATGTTGTATACAATTACAAAGGAATGTAAATTAGATGCATTGTCAATAGCGGTCTCAGACTTTTTGACTTTGCTGTATATAAACAAACACACAACATGCACTCTACCATTACTGTTATACAAGTAAATGTGGAGAAAAAATATAACAAACGATCCCAAAACTACAGCAATTCCTAAGCAATTTAAATCAACATTAGAAATAAACAGCAGATAATATTTCATTTATTTATTTCCAGTGTGGGCGTTATTTACCCTGGAGCTGATGCTGATCTTCGGTTTGTTTATTATTATTAGTGTCTAGCTCAAAGAGCAACTGGTTTAGGTCTTTGAGGGATTCTTTTCATTGTAAACCTGAGTCACTTCACTCTCCCCTGTGCATTCTCTTCAATGATGCATTCTTGTCTCATCATTTTCCCTGTGCTCTAGCATCTGCAGCAAAAGAAAAAAAAACTCTCTATCCTGTGTGTCATCTTCAGAGTTCAGATATTCCACTGAGAATGATTTTCCAACTTGCCTGGCTCACTGTTATGTAATGCTACTTCCAGAGTCTACATGCTGTGTGGCACTGAAAAACCATTAAGGAAAATGGCCCCTTGATAAATCATCCTGTGGAGCTGTTAACCTCAAACGTTCATGAATGGAATTCATTTTGGAATATGAGACCTGATTACCTCACAGTTGCTGTCTTTGTGTGTTATGTGGTTTTGAAGCCAGTTTGGTGTCTCATTCTTGGCTTTCATTACTTCTGGGTTTGTGTACTTTAAAACTAGCCACCGGTTACAGAGACAACAGTGCAGCATTGTAGCTGATGAGGTAGACAAGGGAGCAGGACGCAAGTGCGGAGAAACAAACAAAGAGAATAAACTAGAGAAACACATTAAGAACATTCAAATAACCTAGAAAACTAAACAGAAGACAGGCAAAAATTACAAAATATAGAAGTAACATTGACAAGAAACCAGGAGTTCTTGCTTAGCCAGTTAACTATATGCTTTTTTATGCATTATGATTCAATCTGAGACTGATGGAGGTGGATCCCTCCAGCATGCTATGTTAATTTTGTGAACAAGAATAATATTTATAGCAGAGGAAGCACATCATACTACATAGATATTAAGAAAAAAAAGCAGATATTACATAAATAAGCACTAACACGGTGGCAGTGGTGACAGCGTTGCTTTTTACCATTACAAATGCTTTGCTTTTGAACATTTCAACATTTTACATAGATTTCTAGATAGATAACTTTACAGAAGATGGAAAAAACCTACTTTATTTTTAAAGTTTCAATTTTGGGCTGTTTCTTTTGATCTATTCATCATAGAATTTACACACAATGTAAAGGACAGTAGGTTTTTTCAAATTATGTCAAAAACTGACATGACAAAAATGGAGATATAAGGTTTTGTATGGTTCCTGACAACAGCGATATACTGTGAATCACAAACAAGAAACACCTGGCAACTATTACTGGGTGGGTTACAGATAAAACACAGGTGAATAGAATAATAAGAGGGCTATTAGCTGTTTTATTTATTCCTGAAAATGCTAAATAGGGTTTGCCTTATGTAGCAGAATAGTAACAGCAAAAAAAAACAAAGGTCAGAAAATTGGTGCTGCTGATTTTGTTCTTCATGTACACCAATTAAATTATGCTGTAAATTCATCAGTCAAACAAAAAAGAAAATTAGAGTTAACAGCTACTCTGAATTCAATTTTAACAGAAGCCACAATGACTAAGAGGACATCAGATGCAAAAGGTCTTTGTCATGGATTAGAACAGTCATACCTTCAGATTCTTTTCACTTTTTCAACGTAGCACAGCAAAAGCTAATTCTCTGAAAATTGTGCATTCCATGTTAAACATTACATATATGTGGCCACACGCATCAGTTGAATTCTGTATTAACGGGCAATGTTATTAAAACCATTGTGTTGTTTATGGAATAATCTTTGACTGCTATTTTGCTTGGTCATCATAACAAAACTGTTCAAATCTACATTGTTAAATTATCATTATTAATAATTTATAATAATATAAAATTATTATTAATAATATATTTTATTATTTATTGAACATTAATGTAGTTCATCATATTGTACATTTATTGTAGGTGCTTTATAACAGCAATAAGTCATAAGAGGCCGTTTGTAATGGTGATTTTACCTTAAAAAGGCTGAAATTGGCAGTTAAAAGGCAACTGAAACCTGTTGAATTATGCAGCATTTTTTGGTTATCTGAACAAAGAATTTAAAAATATGGTTTAAAATGTTTATATTTGGTTAGTCCGTCTTAGTACTAGAAACACAAAAAATACTTTTTTGCAATTTAACTTGTGACACAGCTGTGCTGAAATAGGAGCCCAGAAAATGTTTAGTGGCACTGTGTGCTAGAAAGAGTCCCAGACATTTAGTGAAATTTTAAGGTAACTATGTTCTATATTGTTTACATAACTGAGATGCAGTGCTAAAAAATGAGTTAGGAGAACTTTTAACTAAGAAACACACACACACATACACACACACATATGTGTATATATATATATATATATATATATATATATATATATATAACAGACTGTGCAAGTTGCTCATGGAACATATATGACACATGTTTATTTGATATTTGAATCACTAATTAGCACTCTGAATGAGTCATGTTGTTTGCCTTGAATAGAATCCAGACTGCCTAAGGACAGATTAGGACATTATTTCCTGAGACACCACAGTTAAAGATAACCCTGGAATACTGTCCAACGCACAATGTGCTTCCCCGGATATACCACACTGGAAATTTATGCCATGTTTATGCCATGTTCTGGAAATTTCTGCAGTTCCCGTGCGCATTATTTTGGCCCACGATCCAGTTAGATCACCAGGGAACTCATCTTCCCAGAAAATCTGAACGGGATCAATTAGGTATGCAGAAAGACAGACTTTATTGTACAAGGACACAAACATCGGGAAGTAAGCTGGGAGTTTCCTAACAGTCATCTGTTCATGACAGGAAAACAAGAACGAAAGTAAAAAAAAAACTAGGAAACAGCTTTTGGGTTTTACTTGACAATTGTTTAGTAAGCTGTTTTATTTCACTCAAGGCCACAAATTTGGTCTTACTGTAGGCTTTCTCACATCATTAACAGTCCTTGAATTTCAGAGTTTCTTCATATCTTGAGCACTTGCATCTGCTTTGTTGTTTGTGGTTTATATTTCATCATGAGTGTTTATCTTCTGGAAAAATCATGACCAACAGGGCTTAGAATATGAGTCCCAATGTTGATAATTACCCTTTTAGTTTGGATGATTAGAGTAAGAAAAATTTCAGCTTGAAATGAAAATGCTTTGATGATGAAGGATATTGTGAAAGCTACTGGAATGAGCTGAGGAAATTCCTGAATGATGCCTGAATGTGGCTTTAGGAAGAACCACTTTAGGGGCTTGAAACTTGAAAGGTGAAGGCACCACACTGTCTAAATCCTGAAGTGGACAAGAAGACATGAAGAATGGCTCACTGAAAATTTAGGTTTATGCAGTACTCCACTTACCCCAAACATAGCCGATGTCCATTACTTGTTGGCTACATGAGGTTTGTAGCTCCAGTGCCAAACTAAACAAGCTTCAGACACTAAACATGTCCTGGTCAATCAACTGTGTTTGGTGTAGAAGGAAAATTGTTTAAAGTATATTTTTCAATAAAGCATCCCTTAAGTGTGCAACTTTTTCAAAAGTGCTCTACTTTTTTTGCTGAATCAGACTAAAACAAGCTTTGTCACTTTGCCACTGGATTGATGCCAGAAGTCATAATATACATAAGGAATTCTTACATATTATTCCTATGTTGGCCTGGTTCACCAGACTGACAACAGCCATAAGAAAAATTCATAAGCACAAATGTAAAGTACAAAGTACAAAGATGATTGTGTTATAAGACCTCTCTGACACTTAGCTGTGCTCCAAGAAAAGCTTTAGTCCCCCCCCTGCCCCATTTCTGCTTATGAAGTTTCTTTGTGTTTATGTACCAATTTTTTTCCAACCTCTCCTTATTAATTAGAATTAAGTAAGCTGTTTTTGTATCTGTACCTTTAAGACTGATATGTGTAAATAACCTCTGTTCTGATAGGCCCTGCATTGTGCCTCATTCAGAAAGCAGTCCAGACAGAAACAAACTTCTAAACTGTTTTTGCAGCATAATTTTCATGTATAGACTGTTAGAACTGGGGAGAGAAAGGAATGTTTTGAAACTTTAGCTACATTAAACTTTTTTCAGTTAAAAGAAGGAAGGAAAATTCAGTTTTCCACAATATGGGCCCTTTAAAATAGGCAAAAGATGAGTTAAAATTGGAAAATAAGCAGAACCCCCCACAATTCAGAAATTAAAAAACCAAATCAACCAATACAATACATTTCTTTTAAGGAATGTTGAATGCTCCAAGATCGCAAGAACTGTTTGTATTTTATCATTTATACAAAAAAGTTACATAATTTCATTGTCTAAATTTCTGTATTTTCTTGTTTAATGAAAATTTAAATATTTGTTATGTCCATCATCTCACTTAATCATAATCATAATCATAATTAAATTGTCTAGCATCATTTCTACATGTTTCTGCAGAACTGTAGAACGCGCATTATTATTCTAGTACTGAGAGTGTCTCGCCTTAAAACGTTTCTCAAACAGTCGAAACAAAATGATTCTCCCCTGTTAAAAATAATATATCTTTCAATAATAAATGTTAACTGAGCTTGGTTTTATTCATTTTTGATAAGTGATGACATAAAATGAATAAATTAAATTGTGTGGAAGGGGACTCCGATTTTTGGGCCTTGCTGTAACAGTCTTACTTGAATAGATGTTAGGGAGAGTAGTGAAGTGAGAGTTGCTTACATATATGAAAAGAATTAGAACCATGAGCTAGTTTTCATTTTACATGTCTGTGGGTTTTTAGATATGTGAGGTTACTCAGTGTGAGTATGAGTAAGTGTGTGTGTGTCCACAAACTCAACATTTCAACATCAGAGATGTAGGCTGCTGACTTCACTGTCATTTGCAGGCATTTGGGCCAGGGGGGAATGCTGAGCATTTAGCACACTGAGCACGTTTGGTCCACACTGTCGACTGTGGGATCCAGTGATAGGAAAGAAAAGACGTAAGAGTCTAACAGTGCTGTGACAGTGTTGAAATCCAGCCATGACGCTGGGAAGTTTGATTAATCTGTTAGTTATGTTGATATCAAAATCAATCCAGGCTTAACTCACACTGTAAGAGGTGACGTGCTTTTGTCAGGTTTCAATGCACCCTGTGAACTCTTTTTCTTCATGAGTAGTATCAGGTGGAACTACCCTTATTGCCATCATTTTTCATCACTAGCGGTGGGTAGAGTAGCTTTAACTTATACTTAAGTAAAAACACTGTTTCTCACTGACAGAATGACTGCAGTAAAAGCACCTTTCCAAAAAAACAATTTAAGCAAAAGTACAAAGGGGACAAGTCATCAGGTCAACAAAACTACTTAAGTATTGAATAATTTGTGAAATATCCAGAATTATCCAGAACATTTTTTTAAAAAACTGCTCAACCTTAAAAATGTATTTCTTATGTTAACAAGCAATTTAACTCATTTTATTCACCTCAGATAAGCACTTTAAATGAAACAATGCAAGGCAACTATTGGTTTAGATAAACAATAGCAGTTAGGCTTGTTAGGATCTGTTCTTCTCTTTTTGATGCACTTTTGATGTAAAATAAAATGCTAAACCTCACCAGTCAGACAGAGTCATATAGCAGTATGGATAATGTCACAAATTGAAAAAAGGAGTTAGTAATGTTAATGACTAAAACATATCCAAATGTAGATTACTTTTCTCACAAGTAGGCCTTTACTTAATCAACATGTACTCATACAATACATCTGACTGAGTAAAGGAAACTAGTTACTCCCCACCTCTATTAATCACAAATGTCTTGATTTCCTCAAGACTTTGACTCATTTCTGTTTCTATATATTTGCTCTCCATAGACTGCTTTGCTACTAAGATTGTCCTACCTAGACCAAGCCATTTAATTCATTCATTCATCCATTCATTCATTCATTCTGTGTGATTAATTTAGTCTCTCTTTTTCCCCGTTCACTTCATTTCAGATATTACCCCAATTGAAGATAAATGGCCCCTCTAGATAACTCCTCTGGAATGAGACCCTCCCCGCAGTTCCAACACTAAAAGCCAATGTCACATGACAACTCAGTGGTGCTGCAGTTCACAGGTTTGTGACACAGCATGTACACATTAGCCCGATTCACAACAAACACTGTGTCCTACAACCAGGATTGAAGAGCATGTTCGTTCTTTCTTCACATTGTGGCATTTCTGAAATCATCCGATCTAAAGCCATGAACAGGCAGAAAGTGGATAGCTGCAAGTGTGGAGGAGGCTAACAGCATCTTTTCACCAAAGGAAGACAAATACAGCCTTGTCTGGCCATTAGCATATAGGCTCAGTACAGAAGTGCTCATGCTCAAAGCAGTCAGACTGCCAGCCACCACACTTTGGCTTGAGGGTGGCAAATCATCACATGCCTGGTCTATGATTGGTGGGATAGTTTGAGTGTAGCCTGGTAAGCTCACTAACGGCAGCCCAGATTCTTAAAGGGAACTCTGACAGTTTAAACATGCAAGCCCCAATTTGGTGTACATGTTCAATACTATTAAAATTTGCATAAACCAGGCAAAATATTTATTATTAAAAATAAACAAAATCCCTCTGAGTTATCATTTTTCTATGCAGCATCAAATGGTTGCTCTTCCATCAAGTAGGAACAGCGAGCTAAATATCTAATTTAAATAAAATTATATCATTCAGCCTTTCCAACTTTAGCTAACGCATGTCATTACCCAAGAGAAAAACATTTTGGTCGTATTTTCAGTAGAACTGCGCCCAGTGCAACCATATGACATCATCACAGTGTGAAAATGGGGACCTACTAATAGAGGGATTTTGCCTATTTGTCATTTTTTTTACAATAAACAAAACATTTCTATTTGTTTTTTCCATCGTATTCTGATAGTATTGGACATGTACACTAATATATAGCATATAAGTCTTAACATTTAGGGTTCTCTTTAAATATGAAGCTTCTTAAATGGTCTTTGGCTTGGACATATGGATTCTAGGAAAAACCTTTAATTAGTATTGAACCTTTAGAGTTAAACGCAAAGGTTCTTAAAAATGTTTAAAAATTGTTAAATGTTCTTCACTCTTACACATCTATCTAACTGTGACAGTGCTGGCAACAGTTTCACATTCACACATCAGTGTTAGTGTGAAAATGCCCTAATTTTCTGAAACTCTAACAAGTTCACAGCCTCCCAAGCAGACGGAAAAAATCAGTTAGATGTTTGAAGCATCTGGTGATGATTTGGCATTAATCACAAAGTAGATTACACTATCTGAGTGTGACAATGCTGGCAACATGAGGCACTCATTCACTGCTCAATATCCAAACTCATTTTCTGTAGATGCTAATCAGCTTTGATGGAGACATGATGTGGAAGTGATCTTGGTCTTTGAGGTTTTAGCTTCAGTCATTGTGTGCACCATGAATCAGTGAATACCTTGACAGAAAACTGAACTTAAAATGGTAAGTCACCAAATTTCTGTTTCAAATCACAAGCCTGGAAGAAGTCAAGAAAGTTTCCCACATGCAGGAAAGTGACTGCATTCAGAAACCATGCAGCCTTCAACCGAGTTACTCAAACTCCAAGGGGGAGGGCAACAGCACTGCATAGTTCAGTGCTTGCCCTGTTACTAGGCTTGTCACAATCAAGTTTTACAAGATGATTAATTACCATATAAAAGTGCAATTAACAATTGTATTGTCTTTTTTTGTTTAGCATATATAACTATTACAGTACAAGCCTGAACTGGCCAAATTTGCTGATTAGCTATCTTCCTTCCTAGCTGTCAACAGTAGCTCCCAACTGAATAAAGACAGCTCAAGTAAACAAACATTACTCACTGCATTTTCTGCTTTCTTTAAATTAGCATGTATTAGTCTCAAACCAACTGATGAAAGCAAACCAAATTAACATGTGTGAACGTTGTGAAAGCAGTGAGCTGAAATAATTGTGGTCAGGCAATTAGGTAATGATGATGACAGGCCTGATATCACTGATTTACTCAATATGCAACTATTACAGTACAACCCTGAACTGGCCATATTGGCTGATTAGCTATCTCGCTTCCTAGCTGTCGATATTAGTTCCCAACTGAAGAAAGACAGCTCAAGTAAACAAACATCAGATATTCACTGCGTTTTCTGCTTTCTTTTATTTACATGTATTTGCTTCGAACCAACTGATGAAAATACACTAAATTCACATGTGTGAACATGTGAAAGTGAGCTGAAATAATTGTGGTCAGGCGATTATGTAATAATGGTGACAGGCCTGCCTGATATCACTGATTCACTCAGCTTTAACAGTTGAATCAGAGATAAAGCTGGGACATGTTGTAGCCTTCTTTAAGCACCTTTAAATAACATAGCATGTTTAAGAGAACTAGCTAACAACAATGTGCCATGGAGCAAATAAAGCTACAACAGAGCACAACTGCAATGTATCTTACATTTGAAAGCATATCAGAGTGCTGTTAAGTCTTCTCACTGCACCGGCTCTGCATTTCTACATACTTCAGTAGTTAAGATGTTCACAAAGTCATTCTGAGCTGTTTGATGTAAAATGCACCTTACTGAGCCAGAATTGTTCACAGTGGTGGTGATAGAAACCAGATGTTTGCAGAGTTTAATGCCTCTAAAAGCTCCCTCACATACAGTTATAACATGAAATGGTTATGAATACTTTTAGAAGAAGGTTTTAGCCTAAAATGTATTTTTTCTTGAATAAATTTAGGTGGGAAGGTACAGGCCAGGTGCTGTGAGGCAAAACAGTTCCTAGAGAAGACTTGAATGTATCACTATTTTACCATTATCAATATTACATATAAAAACTCAGAAGACACAAGTAGGTATAGGTTCATTGGTCATATGGCTTTATATGCATATCGTGACCCCTGGTTACTACCACCACACTGTACAGAAATCTGTAGGTGTCTCTGCAATTAATCACTTCACATCAAACCATGCCATAATGATTTGTGTACATCTCAATGACTGAACTGTGCAGAAATGTTGAAATATTGGTGGAATTCACCGTCAAGTCTTCTACAGCTGTCCACAGCAGCTACCTGCTCCTCTTCAGGAACTCCTTACATTTTCCAGCATGATTTTACTCTTTTAATCACTGTTATTTAGCAAGGAGACCACTGAGCATCTGGTAGTAGTAGTGTTTTAATATTTAAGACCAAATGTTTTCTCATTTATTATTTGATAAACCTATGGTTATCATATGGTTGACATTTCATTCTGAATGCCATGACTGTCTGCAGTTACAGCTTTGGAGCTCTCACAAGTTACTGTCGGCCCCTGCGTGGTGGGATTGGTAATTCCAATTGCTGATATATATATATATATATATATATATATATATATATATATATATATATATATATGAATGTTCTTACATCCCAATTTTCCCTTTCTCCATTTTCCAAGTTTCTGCAAATTATTAGAATATTTGAGCTTTGCAACATTCATACCAGTTACAGTGCGCAGAGTGGTGAGGGCAGAGCTGCTTTATGAGGAGCCTGGCCTGTTTCCCCCAGCTATATCAAAAACCTGACTGCAAAACGCCAGAGGGCGCCCACGAGCAAGTCCACAATGAATGTAGGTGAAAGAAGCTAAATGGCTAAAAATTAAAAGTTTCTAATCACGTTACTTTAATTTTAGAAAGTAGAAGGATGTATTTCACTAAAATGCAAAGAAAGCTTACCTGCGTGTTTTCTTTTTTCTACAGCAAACGGCTTTTGGGGAGCAGGACGCTAGCTTTACTGCTACCGAGTGCTGACTGGTTGGCGAGCGGAGCAGCCCATTGGCTGTTCGCGCTAAACTGACGTCATGAACGTACATGAGGCACTGTTTTAAACTCCTATAAGTGAAGTTCAAAAGGTCTTAAAATACAACAGCGGTGTGAAAATGTATTCTTTGGTATTAAAAATGTTTAAACTATGTACAAACTATAACTTTACTCAGGTGCTCAATCTTAACCCATTCATTGTGGACTAGCTCGGGAGCGCCCTCTAGCGTCCTCTGGTGAGGGTCTAAACAGTTCACTGGGCGCAGTTCACTGGAGGGTTTGTCTGTTATGGTCATGGCCGTCAGTTACCGTATGCTGCCACCGTGTGGTTGAAGTGACAGAGGAACAAGGCGAGTTCACGGCAGAAACTTCGGCTTAATAAACAGACTCGACTGCCTGTCACTCCTGTGAGGACTGTATTATACAGAATCATACTGAAGTGTTTCAGCTCCTACTTAAGAACTATATTAGCCGTAGCTCATCACTGTAGTCAGAGGCGGATACATGAGCTTAAAAAGACTTTAGATAGTGTTTTTATTTTTGAACGTTTATCACCAACTAAATCTAAAGCGCACACTCTGTAATAACTGCCGCAGTCGTCCTTTCAGCCGTTGGACTGGCTGAGTAATCTAACATTACCGCTATCTGACTTCCTCTGAGTACCAAGTCTACTGAGAGCCGTCATTTCCCAACTCTACAGTCAGCAGAATGTCTTCAGTATCAGTCGGAGTTCACATCACGTTTCAGTGAGTCTGAGTTTCAGTGCATTGACCCCGGCTCTCCATCTCAACGCTGCACAGATCGATCGCCTTCGGTTCACTTGGATTAACCTGTCTCATTTCTTATGTAAGCAAGAGGAGTGCAACGTGCGTTCATGACGTCACCGTTTCAGGCCAAAGACCACCCGGCGCCGTGGCTTAGTTGGTTAAAGCGCCTGTCTAGTAAACAGGAGATCCTGGGTTCGAATCCCAGCGGTGCCTTTTCGTTACACTGTCGTAATGTGACGAAATTAAAACCAGCTATTGGTCACCTGTCGACTAACGCCAGTCTAAGACTCAAGGACACTGATAGCATATGAACACTACACTCATTTCTCTTAAACCCAGTAAACAGTAACTGTAGAATTTCCCAATAAACAGATCATTGCGTTTATTGTTTAATACAGGGAATAGACAGTTACAACAGCACCTTTGCTGAGTTTTATTACTTTTTTAAAAAAATGCAAATGAGCACCACACAGAGAAATAAAACCTCTTTACACCTAGACTGCAGGACAGGACTTGGCGTAAAACTGAGGTAATTCCAGATGATATTTGTAAGTCAACTAGTAGATCATGATAAATGGTTGTCTAAATCAGCTTATAGAAAACAGTTAAAGTGCTTAGCACCCTCGTTTATAAAACAGGAGACATTCTGAGGGAAACTGGGGGTGTTTCTTTTAATATGCTGGGAAATTAAGAGCACTTATTGCATAATCTAACCTATATGATTGAGATCAATAACTTGTAAACTGTGCTTGACGCCATATGCCAAAATAAAGCAATTGCCTTGCTGTGTTATTGTCAGTAAGAGAGTCTAGTAAAATGCCATGTTAATATAATTACATATGTTTAAGTTGTGGTTTGGGCAACTGCTGGCCTTGCAGATTCTGCACCATCCAATCTGTTTCATTGAGGACAGTGAAGTTGTGCGTTTTGTAGTTGAGCATATCCCGGGCACGGAACACCTTGTTGGACTCATACAGGTTGCTCCAGTAGCGGGGAAGGGGCTCGAACCCACCCAATTGGGCTAGATGGTCATTATAAGCCCACTGCTCAGAGTCCAGCTTCAGGATGTGGCGGGTTGCGATCCCGCGAGCTCGACGGGCTGCCATGTCCAACTCGATATCCTTTTCCATTTCCTCACGTGACGGGAGGGGAAACGAACCCTCCAGCACGGAGATGATAAACTGAGACTGAGAGGGGACAAAATAAGAAAGGAGAAGTGAGAAGAGCAGCAAGAGGGCAAACACATCGAGACAGATAAGCAAAAGCCAAAAAGATTGTATGAGTACAGTAAAATTAACGGAAAAAATGATCATCTTTACACCACTAAGCTGACAGAGTAACAGAAATATATATATATTTTTTAAAAGTTGCTGCTTAATAAAGACATCAGCATTTCCTCTTCCTCAAAAACGAGAAACATCAGGAAACCACATAGATTCGGCCAGACAAAGTAAGTTTCACTGCTAGGTCTACTAAATGCTATGCACCAAACAGTGGTTGCTACAATCTTGTTTAGCTAGAATGAACAATAAACTGTTTAATTTATGCAGCAGCTAATGTGCAAAAGAGCACTTCTGGTCAGCAATCGGGGATTCAAATGACATAAATTATGTCAGTTGTCAAGCAGTAATTATGTGTACAGGATTTAAAACCACATTAAAACCACAAATACCACAGAACTAAATTGTGGAAATTTCTTTAGTTAAAAAAATCATAATAATAAATCATAATAATTTTGATACATTTCCCTGAATTTAGTCAAAGAACCAAAAGCCTGTTGGGCTCAAAACACACTTATATTAGAAGCCAAGGCAAGTGCTGCAGATGTTACGGACACACACAGAGATTAGGTTGAAAAACGCAGGGGCGCTCCTATAAAGGAAGCATGTAGCCAAACTATGGATTTATAATTCACACATTGTGAGAGCACTCAGTTTTACCATGTGACTCACCTGAACGTGGAAGTGAGGGAAAGGGGCATATGGCTCTGCAGATGCCCACTATGAAAAGTGATGGGTAGGCAGGTGGCATCAGAAACTTGTAGAGCGGAAAGACCAGGTGATCCTTCACTTGCACCCCCACTTGTTTATCCAGGAAAGGGAAGGTAAAGTTGTAGCCTGTACAGAACAGAAACACTTCTGGCATCGCCTGCTTTCCATCCTCAAACTCCAGAGTGCCATCATCCAGCACTTTGGCTACTGGAGGAGCCTGCTCCACGCCTGGGGGGAGGGGGCAAGTCAGGGGCCGCTGGCCATGACTTAGAATCACCTGGTTGAAGAACATACAGTTAGCTGACCTATTTGTGTGCCACCTACAAATGTGTTCTTTCATAGAAACTGTTGCTAGGTTGGACAAGCTTTACAGAACAATGGCAAAAATCCAATTCAGCTTAAAGAGAAATTATAGCCCACAGCTCAATTTTTGTCCAAATGCAGATATTTAGTGTATGTTCCTAAGTTTAAATGATATTTAGTTTGCATCCATGTGAAAAGGTCATTCAGCAACATAGTCCAGCTTGGTATTGTAGCATTTAAAACTGAAAACTGACAATATGTAGCTAATCTACAAACTGATCTAAATTCATGAGGCTGAATGGGATTCTTTCGCAATATTTGCTCAACTTTAAAACAGTTGCTAAAGAAAATATTAATGAGTGGGGCATGGATAGATCAAGTGTATACTATAATTTAGTTTTTTTATCATTATGGTCATTAATGCACTTTTTTCTAGTTTTCCAATTTTCATAAAACATTATGAGAAATAAAAAACAAGACATGTGAAACACCATGGACCGCACAGTCATACACGGCTTGGTACAGTACTATGGAAGAGATGTACAAGTGAAAACACCTTAGCATTGACACTAGACAGCTCCATAGCGATGTCTAGTCCGGAAAGACCAGCCCCCAACAGCACCACTGACTTCCCCTCAAAGGGCTCTGCGCTGCGATAATCATGACTGTGCATCAGCATTCCTACACAAAAGAAACATAATAGTGTTGGTCACCAAAAATGTACGTTTTAACTTACCTTCCCAAAATGTATAAATTTACATATGTATAAATATGTATCCAACAACAGACATAATAAAGCAAAACTAACAGATTCTTAAGTTTCCTTTTTCAAGTTTAATATTTTTGAGAGATTCTCTGCCCAGAACAGTTATTCACTGTGAAGAAACAGGATCTGTCAGACAACGGTGTAACTGAAATATAAATCAGCTTCTGCTTTTTTGGGGCTGTTGTGACATGTTTTCCTCAGAGGAATGCCACATTTTAGGCTCTTGCCTAGACACATCCAAGTGGGGTTGGAAGGTACACTCCATTCTGGGTTAATCATTACATGATCACATTGATCAGAGGCCAATTAATCTGAGATAAGATAAGACTTTATGGCTAGAAGTTCTAATAATGAAGGTTTCGATTAGAATTTTAGTTGGCCAGTGAGCTATGTATAATGGCACTCATAGTTACATCCAGTCTAATCCTATACCATGTCACAAAGGCTGATAGAAAAAAATAAATTAATGCTGATATAGCAAGTTCTAACTGAAAAGATAACTGTTTTCTATAAACTTCATATGTTCATATTACATAACACTACAGTGTACTGCAGGTACACATACCTTTGAACTTCTCCAATCCAGGTATGGTAGGGATGTAAGGGTCATAGAAATGTCTATGAGTCAAAATCATCAAAAAAGAAGAGGCACTTCAGTGTCACTATAGTTTGCTACCATTGTAGCTATGTCAAATTAGTACTGAGTCAATGTATTTTTGTTGGGCTTGTTCACCCTTGACATCTTTACTTGTGAGAGACAGTTCTTGTTGCATTCTTAAACAACATATTTGCACCTACCTAATGACCTAATGGTCATTTTATAGACTACAGAAACTAAATGTACACAAACTTATGGCCATTTTATCAACTACAAGTATTGACAGTAGCCCATCTTTTGCCACCCAACTTATTAGCCCCCTCTACCATGTCCAGCAATGGAAAGAGACCACCATACACACATGAAAACTCACGATCAGTAAAAAAGGTGACCGGTCCAGAAACCAAACCTCTGTAGCGGAGTCTGGTAGCATTGCTCCTACGACAAATTTCATTTAAAGTCATTTAAGTTCTTGTGCACTTTGAGACTAAATTACAGGTGGAAACTGCTGTGGAATTATTTAGTTTATTGAGTTTGACAACTACGCAAATGCAAGCGATGTCCAAATATTGTACTGTTTTCTAGGCATTTTGATTTATTTGTTAAAAATCTGTTGCTGAAATCTCCTTTTCAGGCTGCAGATCTATTATAAATAAATTCTTAAACCGAACATAAGCCCTATTCGAGCGGGATTAGAATTACCCGAATGTGCTGTTATTTGAGCGATTGCCAACAAGCTTTGTGACTTCAATCCAGTACAAATCTGCCACATCCATAGTTTGTACAATTCCGCTAAGTAATAATTCCAGAGCAAATTACGTTGCCAAACTCAGAGCTCCTCTTAATCCACTTTACTAGCCTAAGGCAACTCCATATACCAGAAAGAGGCACATTAGTTTGTGTTGTTACTCATCGGAAGCATGCTGCCTGTCTCATGATGCTGACGTAAATGTCCACACAATGATGTTTCGATTCTATTTGGGGTAATTTGGGGAAATCACAGAGATTCTTTATCTCCTATGATTCAGCCAGTCAAATCACGCACATATTACAATTACCGGACCTCCTCTGGTAACACTAATCCAGCTCAAATAGGGCTATAGTTTTCTATGGGCTCCACAAGGCGCATAGTGCTTAGACCCCAATGGGTGTCATTTACAATATTGACAGTTGTTTTGCTCCAATAGATGTTATGCCAGTCCACAGAAATAAATGTGTTCTACATGAATTTCACACAGAAAATAAATCAGCTGAATGGATGGAATGGTTGTATTGGTTGCTAACGATGATAATTTACACTAAACATTTTTTGCACACTATTGGAGCAACAAGTCCGAAAATGAAACCAACGTCACCGCTCACAAAACATGGCTCTGTTTGTTGAATACCAATCATCTGGCTCAATTCCTACTTTATTGTTGGCACAGTTGGCAGAGTGTCAGATAGCGTCAGCAGTGGTGTTCTAACAATCTGTCCTACCCATCACTCATTCCTTCTGCACATACGCATATAATCACTACTGCATCGTAACTTGATATTTTGGACGTTTCGTTGTTGTTGATGTTAATTTACTCTTACTTAAAGTCTACTGTACAGACTCAGTACAGGCTATCTATGCTAATAGCATTCTTTGATAAGGTGATTCAGACTATCAAAATATCCTACCTATGGTTTTATGTAAGGAGCTACCTACACACATTCACTAAGGTAGAACATTTTGGCAAGGTAGGACCTGACCTGGTTTTGTCAAAGCTGACCTCAGCAAGTACTTGTAGGATAGCCTCTGGCCCGACTCTAAACTAAACATACATGAAAGAAAGATGACTTAAGTGGAAGCAGCTTGCAGCAAGCCACAATTTCTAGCCAGGTAAAGTTAAATTATAACTAACTGCATTTATTATATACATTTAGTAATTATAACAACTTTATTTACCGAAGGTCTGTTAATATGTTAATACAGACCAGATATTATTTGAGTGGTGGACCATTTTCAGTAAAGAAGTGATGCTGACATGGTAGTGGCATGTTGGTAAAGTTAGTGCGTGTTGTGAGGGTGTTAGTACATCAGGTACATAAGCAGTGTTGGTGAAACTTTATAAAAAAAAATCAATTGTGCACAGACGGGCTACAATCAGTAAATGTAAACTTAAAAAATGCATATATATATTTGTAAGAGTATGTGATAAAGAGGCCAATGAGTGTACACGTACCTAATAAACTGGCAACTCAGTATATTGCATCACTCTTTTTGAGAACCTTAAAACTGATAAGTTAACCTTTGCTCTACAACTATACATCTGTTTGCACATCTGACACCTGAAAGCACTGCCTCCAAAAACAAAGCCCAAAACCCCTATGTAAAATCTGTGAAGAAGACGGTGAAATATCTCTTCTCCTATAGTGTGAATCACTGCGTATTTTACTATAAATCCTTCTGTGTATTCTGACACATGGCTCTTATTCAATTTTAAGCTTACACATTAAAAAAGGCAGTACATACCCATTACACACCATAACAGCATCAAAGCGTTCCTTGATGGATTTGCTCTGGTCTACACCATCGGTCGTGGTGACATCCCAAGCCAAACCTTTCCAACCACCCTTCTCTTTTATTGGGTTCACTGCATCCACCATGGTGCCAAACTGAAAGAGGTTCAAGAAGATCCGTGTACATGTTTACACTCATTGTACAAATGCTACATAATATACACTGTTATGTATTAAAAATATTCCCACACTCCTCCAGCAAGTTTACAGATTACAATTACAGATTATTTTAGAAAAAGTAGTCATAATTTCCCACCTCTATTTACCCACAGTCTTAGAACAAGCTACAGCAATGATAATGTGGATGACAGTACAATTGCACACCTTGCTTGCAAGACATGAAGAATTGTTGGACAGATGAGGAGCAATTAAATTCATAATTGATCTTATGAAATACATTTACACTCCCTTGAACTTCATCTTCATTTTTCTTAGAAGCACATGCTGCAGAGAATGGCTCACATGGATACACGAACTGACTGTGCTGAAGCCGTACCTGTATGTGGTCCCAGAGGCGGAAGTGGTCACAGTATTGTTCAAGGTATTTCCGCACCTCTGTGTGATGGACAAATGAAGGAAGATGCTTCGCAAAGGGGAAGTCAGGGAATGACATCACCTCTTTGGGAATATTGGTTCTGTCATATGAGAAGAATCTTTTAAGACATTAACCACAACATAATCAAGTCATTTTGCCACTGTCAACCAGTTTTCATATTATTGGGACTTTCCTCCTTAACATGTGGGGTTATAATTTGGTTATTACTAGCGCTAGGTATTGAAATTCGATACTTTTGTGAAATGTACCAAATTGCTTCGGTACGAAAGAGTACTGAAAAACATAAATACTACACCAAACATTATCAAATTTTGATACGTAATTTGTCAGTCTTATCATTGTCAGTCAGCCAGTAAGCATGCATTCAAAATCTTGACTGGTGAGTGTCTGTCTAAATTACATTACTTAAGCATGTTATTTACGCAACCCAGGAGAATAAGCGGCTTAGAAGATGTGTGTGTGTGTGTGTTTGTGTGTGTATGTTATTTACGCTATTGATTGCAATAAACAACTTTTCTGTACTGAAAAGAAAGTATCAAAAAAGGATTGCTCAGGAATTGTTATTAATGGCTGTGAAGTATTTAGTAACTACTATAAAATAATACATATGAAGGTCTGGACCAGCAACAGGTCCTTAATACAAGGAATATAGCAATGCACAAATTTTACTTCATTTAAATGTGTAAATGATTTCCAAATGAAAAAAACTGCAAAAATAATCCAATTGTGTCTTTCAGCTTACCTACTTTGCATTCATGTGGAACTGAAGTAAGTACACATTTGAATCAAGTACAATCAATGTTTCACATTTTTCAATGCACCAGTGGGACAGACACTTTACCGGAGATCTCTGTACATGCTACTGTGGATGGGCAGCCCATTGTCGTAGTGTCCCACCCGTTCCTCGTACACCCAGGTGCCCCCTACACACTTGGTGAGCTCGTACACCACTGGAGGGGCGAAAAGGTCCTGCCGTGCAAGGAGGTGGCGTGCAGCACACAGACCCGCCGCTCCGGCCCCAATCACAGCAACCCGCAGCTTGCCAAGCCCAGACATCCTCAACCTGCTAATAACAAGAGAACAACATGGACGTGCATAGACCTGCAGGAGATCATAAAAAATACACTGGAGCACATAGAAATTTACTTAAAAACTTAAAAAGTGATGCACTAAATTCAGACCTGTACATCTTTTCTACATGAATCAAATACATAACATTCACAAGATGTAGTCTTTCAATTTACATATTTTTGGCTGTATTTGTGGTAATGTAAGATATTTAATGGGTCATTCTAGCACTAAGGTAGAGAATACTATAAAGCAATGAAAAGGAGCTCAAAATAGGAATAAACCACAAAATTGATGTCTTTGTATGGATGTTTCAAAGAAAGATTGACTCTGAGAAGTCTCCTTCTATATTTATGATTCATTTGGCTAAATTTTGCTCTTCGCCTGTTGCAAAAAAGATCAGTAGCACCACTGATAAGGCATTAAGTGCTTTTAGAATTGAAATAAATTAACAATATTCATGTAATATTTGTTACTTTCTATGTATGATGTGACCTTGGATCATCTGAAGTGGAAGTGGACTGCATTTTAGAAAAGCTCAGATTTTAGTCATTTTCTCAACAGCATTACAGTCAGTGGTGTTACAACTTTAGTGAAGTTGAACAATATAACAGGCTATGTTTTTCATTTGAATTAGATATCAACATCCATACATTATTTGGTAGAATGGCCCATATTCATGAAGAAATGATGCACATGTTCGCACTGTAGTAAACTCAATGTGTCACTTGTTTCAGTGTATGTGAGTGGATGAGCGCATGTTTGCAGCTACAGTTATCACTCTTAAGTATTTGTACGTGCAGTTAAGCATTGATAAGGTATCTGTGCACTGGCTATCATTCACCTGCACAGATTTGACACGCAGCACAAGGGAGCAAACTATAGTGCAGTTTGGTCTCATTGTGTGGACGCTGGCTATTAAAATTCTTAAAAGGCCTTAATCCGTTGCCCATGGAGAAGCACTTTCCAGTAATCCAGTCTTTGCACAGACCCTCAGATCTGCACAAACACAGTTCCCAAGTAATACTAGGGATTAAAGAGTCTGTGTTCACTTGAACGCGCCTGGTCAGATGTAAAGTCAGCAGTGAGGTCCGCATCGTGGCTGTGCATTAAAAATAGGCCACTGCCGGTTTCAGCTCAGTGAAGCCTTTACTGTACTTGTTTTGCTCCAACTGCCAAATCGACCCGAGCAGACTTAACGGTACAGCAACGAAAATAGCAGTTAGTGCTAACTTTTAAGCTCATAATTTGAGCTGTTTACAAAAGCCTTTCCTGACACTGAACGTGACTCACACGCGCAGTTTTTCTACTTACTTCAGTGCTGATCAGTGAGAGCGCCGGCAGATACAGTCCAACACGAAGGCGACCCTGAGAGCTGCGCAGAGAGAAAAACACTCCGCCGCCCGGCCGTTTATATTTCAGGGTTTGGCCTCCATCCAAAGGGACCAATGGCTAAGGCTAATTAACCCTTTGGTGACCCCCTTTGTATATTTATTCAGTAGTTCAGGTTTAACTCCAGTGCCAATTCAAATAATCATCGATTTACTAAGTGAACGTCTCTAAACTTGCCCATATTTAGCTTTTCTGTTGTTTGTGCTATCAGCGTATTAAGTGTGAAAGCTGAAAACGAAAGATAAGCAAATTTGTGTCTGCACTCAAAGTAGTCAAACAGCGACACCGACAGGTGGAGGCGAGAAATTACAAGAACTCCGAAAATGGTAATCAGGAAAAACTCACGTAAATAAAAGTTAATTAATTTGTTACCTTTGATGTTTTACCTTCTCTGTTTTGTTTGTGTAGAAATGGAAGAGTTTGATGCCACATATACGCTGTATATACATTTGTAATCATTTTGGATACAATGAGTTTTTGAAAATAATAACAGCTGAGGCATAATAGAAAACACATTTTTATTTGTCTAATAAAGCTGGTGCTCATCAGAAAACAGCACTGGTTTATCTCGTATGTGTAAAACCCGCTCCCAGAAACGCACATCGTGAAAAAGAAATCTGAAAGTGTCAACAGTGCGTTTTGGAACAAAACCGCTCATTTCTCTCCTCCAGTTCTCACTCAGCAGATCAGGCTTGTCACTCGTCCATCCGGGTCCTTCCACAGCCTACGGTACCATTAGTTTAATCATTATTAAACTACTCTCCATATTTATTTTCATTTGTTTTTCTCTGACTTTTAGTATCTTGCCGTTCCTCATCCTTCTCCACTTCACGCAGACATCCGGCCCTTGCAGTCTTGCACAAAAAAGGGACTTAAATATAGATGAAGGTTTTGTAGTGACGTTAATGAACTCGTGCTGAGTGTTTTCCGGTGGGCTCCTGTTCCTCGACCCTGGCGCTGGTGTTGTAAGATGAGGCCACGCTGTGCTTTTCTCACTCAGACGTTTATGCGGTTAAAAACAAGGCGCGTCGCTGCGAGCAGGGTTCGAACCTGCGCGGGGAGACCCCATTGGATTTCAAGTCCAACGCCTTAACCACTCGGCCATCGCAGCTGGACGGAAATATGTTTCTGACAACAAGGTTTAAAATCAGGCAGGTCGGTCAGCGACTGTTTATTGAGACAACATGGAGCCGGAGGCGTTCGAGCTCGAAGACGTGAGGTGGTGTGTTTTCTGTAAAGTAGATAAGACGCGTCAGCAGACAGTAAACAGGCGGCCGTTTAAGAGACGAGCTACAGACATTCAGTCAGCGCGGAAATAAAGTGAACAGGCTTAATATAATAATGGAAGAGCAAATCAATTAACAAACACACTCCAGGTGACACACTCTTTAGATACTGTGTCCACTACCGAGGTTACACCGGAACCTGATTCCCACCCCGAGATATTCGCCACAGGAGGGCGCTGTGGACCAACATCATCGCTGTTGGAGCTCATTTTAAAGAGGCTAATATAAATTTAATTATAGTGAGAAATGTTTACTGTTGGTGTAACAACAATAACAATTATAATTATAATCCCTACTTTAACATTAACTGTAGAAAAAAAGGTAAACGGGTTACTCTTAGCCTATCCGTACAGCGACTGAAGTGGCACCTTCTGTGGACAGAGTTAATTTTAGGCCTCGAAACTCTTTAAAAATGTACCTTTTTCTTTGGTGTGTTTTTTGACAACGTGTTAATCAACGTAAGAGCTCAACTTTCAGCAATGTTATTTTCACACCAGAGGCTGTGAGATCAAAATGATTTTCCCTGAAATGTACAACACTTTTTGCAACCCTGTTACCAATTTTTAAGGTGATATTATTATTATTATTATTATTATTGTTATTATTATTATTATTATTATTATTGTGGTTATTATTATGATTAGTATTATTAGTAGTAGTAGCAGTAGTAATATATTCATTGTTTCCTAGCAAGAAATGCGTAAAACCTTTTTTTACTTTTCAAATAAATAATAAAAATCCGATTTCTTATATTACTTCAAAGTTTTTTTTTTCTTAAAAAGTGCAGTTTTTCTTGGATTAGTAAATGTAACTAATGACTCTCATAATTGACACTTCTGTTAGCATGAGCTACTAAATTAAAAGTTTTAAGACTATTTTAACCAAAAATGACTGAAGAACAGGGTTTAAACATGGGTAACAGGGTTAAACACAGAGACCATGTTCCTCATTACGCTTATATTTATGCACTAAAATAAATAAAGTATACAACATATAGCAGAAAGTCAAAGCTGAAAATCTGTTTTAATCAAAATGTTTTCATTAAAATAGTTTCAAGCCATTTTCATTTCATTTTCATTAAAATGAAGGTTAAAAAAGGTTAACATGGTTGCAAATTTATCCTGAAATTCAGCAGCACTCAGGAGTGGTTAGCTTGACAGTTGCACATGTTGCATTCTAACTACTAATAACCATATAGTTTACATACATTTTATATTTTATATACATTTTTTTCTAACAATATTGTTGGTAACAGAGTTGAATGATCAAGCTTTATGCATGCAGCCATATGCATTTTTGTGTGTAAACTGAGAAAATAGAGTAAGAATACTTATTCGTCTTAAGGTTATTCTGCAGAAAACAAGAAGATGATGAAACCTGTTTATATCACAATACATGGGATGTTCCATTTTTACAAGGAACAGGTTTGGATAACAGGGTTGTGCATAAAATGTGGGAAACAGGTTGAAATGTGTTTTTTGCATAGGGAAAAAAATTCAGTTTAACATTAAATTACTTGGATATTAACCAAACAACATTGTGTTTGTGGTGTTACTGGAGGATTTGAATTAATATATTTCTTAGAGAAGTTCATTATCAGTGAGGTGAGACAGCCCAAAATGACCAGACTGAAGATAGATTCAGACATGGGTTTTTATGAACATTTAAATGCTAATTTTACTCATTTTATTTTATGTGAAAGTACAGATCCCACTTTTCACAGAAAAAAACAAAAACAGTTATTTATTGCTTTTCAAAAGGTAATAGGACATAAATTGAACTCTATTCATGGAAATTGCCAAATACTTTTTGAACTCTATTTGTGGTAAGTGCCGATTACTCTTACTGTGGTAAGAGATTTCGGAGTAATATCACCTGTCTGGGTTTGTTTTGGCCATCAGTTGGCCTATTAATAAAAACAAGGTTAAAACATCTGGCAATTTTGCCCAAATGTGTTATAATATATTTGAATACAAATATGCTACAGGCCTATGAGATACCTAGTCATGTGACAAATCTCTGGTGTGAAGGAAAATTATAAATATTTAAAAGGTTTCTGTCTTTTTAACAGATACTCTCTGTACACATCAGAACATTGATCCAATTGTAATTCAGATTCAATGGAAAATCCTTGGCAAAAATACCATGAATAAGATATGTAAAAACACTCTACACTGTCAGAAAAAAGATTCTGTACAGGTACATTTTTCATTCATCAAGGTACAAACAATGTAAATGTTCCCTCAAAGGTACAACAGTGGTTTTAAGGTACAATTTGTACCTTAAATACGTTTTTCCTAGTGGAAAAATTACGTAATTTGTATCTTTTCATTACTTAATGTTTTAAAACAGAACAATAAAATAAAAAGCCTGGAAACGAGACAGGGTGTGTGGAGTCAATACAACTTGGGTTATGGTACAATTATGTTCCCTGACTAAAGGTACTGAGATGGACCTTTGAGGGAACCACCCCAGTGACAGTTTTGTACCTTTTTTTTCTGAGATTGTAAAGGTTTTGCGGAAAAAGAAATTAGAGTAGGAGCAGTGACATAGAGGGATTTTCACAAACCCAAACCTGCTTCCTGCTGCCTTAGCCTTTTCACAGTTTGTCTTGTTTTAGGACTCTCAGGACTCTAATGTTCAAACAGAGTACCATAAAGTGCCTGGGAGCAGAGCAGTGCAGCAGTTGATAAAGATGCATTAAAAGAAAAATGCAGACTAGACCTTTGATCCTTTGCTACACTGAATGTATAGTTATACCGTACTGTAAATGTCTGTACGTAAATAGAAATCGCAATTCACAAAAATGTTGGGACAGTATGTGAAATACTAGATAGATAGATAGATACACTCAAAAAAATATTTAAGCCCAAAAGTTAAAACTTACGTGTTTTAATTACACATCAATTTTCCATTCAATTTAAATACATAAATCTAATGTAAAACTGGTATTATAGTTTATGTTTCTCCATCATGTTCAATAAACCTGAATAAATTAAATAACATTTAAATTAGAAGTACTTGTAGGATTTATGCAATTCTTTTACATAACATTTATGTATTTCTAAAGAGTTAATAGTACCTTCTGTATTCACAGCACAATTACTTAGACTATGTAAATGTATTAAATGACAATACATGTTAAATTCACATATGTATGTATTGTAGTCAAAACTGTATTAAACAGTATTTGCTGAGGCTCCTTACAAGACACATGTAAACTTTAAAGTCTAATGTGAAAGAAATAAACATAACTTTATATATTTCAGCTGTGATCAAATTCCCTGGTTTAGAATTTCTATTCTCTCAAAACTGAACTACTAATTAAAGGAAATGTTTATGTGCACAACGTTCCTACTGAGGTGCAGCTCTCATGTTAACCATCATGCAAGTTAGCTAGCTAATGCTATCAGTCATGCCATGCTAACATGTCAAGGTCACCTACAGTTACAAAAACCATGAACTGTTGATTTGAACATTAATAGAATACATCTTTATATATTATGCTTCACAATAAGTCACTCCCATTGATTATTTAATCACCTTTTGTACCCGTCAACATGACAGAAGACCTAGCAAAGATGCTAGCTAACTAGTTTGCTGGTGTTGTCTAGAGTATCTCTCAAAATAAGCAAAATGAAACATTAATATAGTCAAAAACATTAAAAACACAAATGAAGTTAATGCGCATCACTATTTTATTGCAGTTGCACTGTATAACAAAGGATGGCAGGAGATTGTAAAAATAAAATGAGCCATTTCA